TTAACAGCACACCATACTCAAATTGTTCGTGGGGAAACAGCGACCTTACACTGTTTGAGAAGGCACATAAGAAGGGCAAGTGAAAATATGACACACCCCTTTAGACCACTTGTCTTAGAACAAGTTATGGTACATGTGAACGATTTTGTACGCGCGGTAGTTGAACGACCGGACCACAACAGACCCATATGTGTAGAAATAGGTTTATTGCTAGAACGATTTATAGCAAGAGGCGTGGCAATCGAACCGATAAACGAAGAATAGTTACAAGAAATAAAAAATATAAATATATAATAGTATTATTAAATTATAGTGTTACTGACCTTAAGTAATAAATTTTATTTTAGCTCACAGATCCGTTTTTTTCATAGTAGATTTCGAATTCCTTACGGCCGGTAAAAACGAAACATTATTGGTATCCGGAACGATTTCGAATAGTTTTGAAAATACCAGCCTAAGAAATTGGAAGGAGGTACTCTAATACTTACGAAAATAAGTTAAGGAAATTCAGCGTATAGTATTAAAAATAATGATGAATTTAATTTAGAATTGACAAACTTAGGAACTAAAGAAGTTTTATATTCAGGGTATTTAGAAAATTAAATAAAAAAAAAGGGTCAGAATGTTAAGATTATCGGAAGCACATGGGTTAATGAGCGATATTAATCATAATATTACGTGTTACGTAATCTTAACAAAATGTCTATTCAATTATGTATTTTCAAAAATAAGACCCATATATATAACGAGAAAGGTAAAAACATGATTTAAAGTAGATTTTAAGTAAACAAAAATTTATGGTTGCATATGTGTATGACAATTTTAATAATTATTCATATAGATTTAGTATAATATTTAATTGGTGGAAGATAATAATTATTATTATTGTAATCAAGGGAAAATACTTACACTATACACTTACATTGTATACTTACATTATATACTTACACTTTTAATATTGTAATTTCAGGTACAATACTATTTTATTGTTTTAAAAGGACTATTGCTCCTTCTTACTAACACTAGTTATTTAGTAATTTACGTATTTGTTCTTACTAACACTATACTAACCACGATACATAACTTTTAATATATATAAAGGATAATATGTAACAGTAATTATGTATGACACTTAAAAATTGTAATGTCTACACTGTAATATCAAATTGTAAACTATTATAACAATTGTAATCAAATGTATGTCAGATTGTAAATCAACTATTGTGATTAATTAACTTAAATATGATTGTTAAAGATTCTTAACCCTTAAAGGTTAACAATCTTTTTTTTGGTGGGGAGGTGTAATGGGATTACGCAATTCATGTACAACGCTCACAATAACAAGTACTACTTATGTAGAAAGCGGCCTCGTCGACCGCACCCAAAAGTGGTCATAGCTAGAATAAACGCTTCGAACAACAACAACTTCCCAAGGGCGCCTACATGCCACGCGCCGCTCAATTCAAAGGGCGTCGCCTTCGTATATTCGTATATATAGAGGCTAGGGCCTCAATACAAATTAGATGTACCAGAGCCGCCAAGACCGAGCGAGCCGCTTAGCCACCAGCCACTACACACGACTTACATGGAGATTATCAACTTCGGAACGAGCTACAATTCGCTACAATCAACACTATTATTCTGCTTGTTTTGTCTGGTTTAATATAATACATTTGATTATCATACTAATTGACTATTATTATTTATCAAAGTACACCAGCTTTTGGATCCCTGAAGGGCCGCATGTAACAGTCCGGTAAAGATTTTTTTATTGATAAAGGTAGATAATCTTATAAGGAATCTTGTGTTTCATTTTCAAATCTTAGATTTAAAGTTAATTCTTAACTCAAAATAATTTGCTAATTTTCGTGATTTTTCCATATTTTGTCAATTTTTGAACTTTAAATGTTCATAAAAAAAACTGTGACTAACGATTTTTAATATTTTTTAAATGTCATTGCACAATATAGTAGGAGCCTTGTATTAAATTGTCAAGCTTTTCTAACCAACAAATAAAGTTTTATTGACATTCATATAAAAAAAAACTAATACAATTGGAAACTGAAAATGATCCTTAACAGTTCAAAACAAATCTAAATATTTTGAAAATTGTATCGTATCTAGAAAATGCAAATATAAACAACCAGTGAAAATTGCATGTATTATACACGTTCATTTGTTTTAGAGTTACACCAAAACCCAAAATCTTTTTTGTGTAAAAATTTCCGTTTTTCCAGCGCTTTTGAAAACTATTGGGAATTTTAAAATTTGACCTGCCAAATTCACCAACTAGATTCACTTTCCTATTGAGGAAGCATATTAACGGAACGCGCTCTGGTGGAAAATCGAAGCAGTTTTACTGCCCCAACCGTGGTGACAGACAAAAAATTTGAAATTTTGAAATTTAAAAAAATTCATCATTGTAAAATCAATACATTCATCGATCCACTCAGAATCTAAAAACACATTGTAAAATCAATACATTCATCGCTCCGCTCAGAATTTGTTCAGAGACTGTTCTAAAAACGAGACAAGACTCAGGACAAAATATAGGTACTATACAGGGCTTAAAACCGTTATCAATTAAGTCGGTAATCGGCTCCGGTAGGAGCCGAAAATTTTTGAAAACCGGTAACCGTTTCTTTAAAGATATTTCAAACACTATGATAACCGTTAATCGTTTAAAAACCGTTGATTATATTTTTTGGTAATCGGTTACCGGTTAAAACCGGTTTTTAAAAATCATTTTTTTTCAATTTTTAAATCATATTTTTGAAACAGTTTATTTAGGTTATTCGTGGGTTGATAACATAACTATTATTATTACAAAATCAAAAACTTAATATGCTTTAATTTGGTCGATTTCCTTCAATTGAAATATTTATTTTTTCAAACTGCTTTTAAGTTTAAAACATATGATCAAGATAATGGCGATCTTAATTAATCAAAAAAATAAATTGCATAAAAAAATGTTATTGTTATAATTTTCTTCTTTATAACCGTAAAAAACCGAAATAATATATAATAATTTTGTACTCATTTTTGTGAAGGGCAAAAATGTGTTTTTCCAAGTTTGACGAATGCTTACCAGATATATACTTGGTACATCCCACTACATTACATTTACTACTGTTTTTATTTATATAATACGTAAAATACATTTCAAGAACAGGGTTCTTCATTTTTAATTTCCGTGTATAATATATGTAGTTATTCTTCAAATTATTTAAATCTTAACCCCTTTAAACACTTTAAACAACATCTTTAAAATAATAACATTGACCAATGTATAAAATATAAAGTGTGATAGACAGTATTAAAATGTCGTAATTACTAGATGGACTAAGCCCCTATTCCACCAACTATTTCGTAATAGGAATCAGCGGACGAGGACGACGACGATGTTTATGACGGTATTTATAATATTAGTTATACAATTATACCTATATATATATATGTGATATTCACAACAAATAAGCAATACTCGACGACAATCAATTGGGGAAAAAAATTTAAAAATAGCTGGAAAATTAAATTCAACTATAATGTAATCATGACATAATTCCAGTATTAAATTCCACGAAAAAACCGTTAATTTTTTGGTCGGGAATAGATTTTGGCTATAATACCGGGATTGAAAAAACGAGGTAACCGCTTTGATGTTAATATTTAGATATTTACCTTGATAACCGATAACCAATAACCGCTTCCAGCATTCCAAAACTAAGAACGGTTATCGGTTGTTGGTTCTCAAATTTACGGTTTTTTACCGGTTTTCGTTACAAACCGGTTACCGGTTTTAAGCCCTGGTACTATATAATGATAAAGAATATACTATAATACTATATTATGATCATACTGAAGTTCTGAAGATTATTTGAGGAAGAAGGTTGTTGTTTTTTTTATATCTGTAAGAGTTGTAATTTGATTAGAATTATCATATAATTTGATATTTTGATATTTATTTATTTATTTTATTTTAATACGGGCCGCAACCCAAAACTGCAGTGCCGTAGAAACCGCGGTGCTGGCGGTTCATTGCACCGGGGCCCCACGTTTAAATTTCTAATATGGGGCCCATACTTAAATAAAATAATACAAGAATTAAGTACCTATACTTATAGGTAATAACAATTTTTTTTAATGAGATCATAATATAATATTAGTAATATAATGATAACGCCGTTAGTACTTTGTTATTGTTGTCGGTTAACACTTGATTTCTTCTTATCATTGCAACTAAAAATAGAATTATTGGGGAAATGATTTTGTGCATTATTATCGGCTCGATACTGGCCGTGATATATTGGACACGGTTAGATTTATCAGGAATTCTAGAAAATGTTGTTTTATTATAAAACTTTTATATGGCATTAGGATTATACATTGATACCATAAATAATATTAATAATAATTGTTCATTCGCATCGTTGTTATTTGTTTCAATATTTGTCAATTTTCACATTTTACTTAAAATACTTACTTTAATCATTTAATTATGTCATCCGTTAATAAAAAAACACCTTAATGGTAGTGAAAAACGAAAAAAACGAAGAGAAAATCAATAAAAAATAAACAACTATTTTTGTTAAACTTTTTCGGCTGATTTTGAAAAAGGTAAGTACTGTTAAGTAATATAGAGACAGTTAGATGTAAGATGAGTTAATAAGTTAATAAGTTAAATCTTAGGACTTAGATAGGTTATTATTTTTAATAAGTGGGTATCTTTATTATTATTCTTAACTTGTGAGAAGTGGATATTTATTTTGAAGTATTGTATTACCTACTGTATTACACAAGTACAATGTACTATAGGTACCTACCTACCTACTCAATAATCATGCTAGTTAGTCATATCATATTTGATAACTGCCGAAATCCGTAATTTTTTTCAATGACATTTTTAAATTTATTTTTTATATTTTCACTAATTTTAATAGAATCAGCTAACTGAAGGCAGAGTTGGGCAAAGTTTTATCTAGATAATTATTCGAATAAATATGTATAAATATAAACTTCTTCACAACTTGGGTTTGGATATTAATAAATGTAAAGGACAGGGCTATGATGGTGCAAGTGTGATGAGTGGAACTTATTCGGGGCTACAGAAGCGAATCAACGATATTGTACCTAATGCTATGTATGTTCATTGTTGTGCCCATAACCTGAACCTTGTAGTTTGTGATGCAGCCAAGAGTTCTGACAAAGCAATGAGATTTTTTGAAACTGTACAATTTGTATTCAACTTTTTTGGTGGAAGTGCTCCAAGATGGGCATTATTGGCTCTTGGAGAAGATAATTCAACGGCAGTTCGTAAAAAGGTTCTAAAAAAAGTATGTGCTACACGCCGGGAAGCTCGACATAATGCAGTATTTGCACTTAAAGAGAGATTTGTTGATGTGCTCAAGACTCTTACAGTAATTAGTCTAACCAGCAAGAAAAATGAAGAGATTGTTCAAAGCAAATATTTGCAAAAAAAAATTGAAAATATAGAATTTATTTTATTATTGTGTGTCTGGGAAAATATTTTAAGATCGGTCCAACCAGTATCCAAATGTCTGCAGTCTAATGATATCAATATACAAAATGCTTGCAATTTACTTAAGCAAACAATTGGTACACTTGAAAATCTACGTGAAAAACTGCTTTCGGTTACGTTATTTTCTACTGACCCTTGCAGAAACCGTAACCTTTCAAAATGTACGTAAGTAGCTTTGTTAGATCTACCTGAACCTGATTTCAACATTTTACACTTTTTGGCTTCTCTTACATTTCGATGATATATAGAATGTATCTTTGGTATTATGAGCAATAAAAATGGCGTATATTACATAGACCATTCGATGTGGATATTGAGTTTGCACAATACATTGTTAAGCTATTTGCGTACTTCACAACTACGTCAGAATAAGAGATGGAAATAGTTATGAAGAAACGTTATTTACAGCACTCAACAAGTTCTACTACTGGACAAGCTATACGAGTAGCAGAAAACGTTAGAATTAAATTTAAGAATTATTTTATTAACGAAGGAAGTATAGAATGGCAAAACCACATGATATGAATTGTAAAAATGTAATATTTATAGTTTTTAATGTAAAATATTAATAAGAACATAAAAAAATAATAATATAAATAATAATAATAATAATAATATAATGTATATTATATTGTTTTTAATGTGAATCGTTTTAAAAATAATTAATAATTAAATATGCATTTGTTTAAGAGTAGGGTTCGGATTTGGAGGCAAATGCCTTTCTTTTATTAATCATTATAGAAAAATGTGTTTCATTTAATTTCTTAGAGAATGGATCTTTTTTTTTTTGCCTTTTTTTGCCTTTTTACTTATAAATGCCTTTTTGCCTTTTTTACCTTTTGTTTATTTTGTATTTAATTAACTGGTATAACTCAAGTAAGTTAATATTTAAAATTGTTTTTAACTAATTCTTAGGACAAACCAGGTTAAAGAAAAAGGTACCTAATCTATTTATACAAAATAGCATAAACTTAATGTAGTTTAGTATCATGCTCATTTTTAATTTGTATTTTTCTCAAAATGTGTGCATTTAAAAGTGTTTAAAAAAGGTTCACTATTTTATTTTGTAGTATATTTATGAATTGCCTTTTTATATAAATTAAATGCCTTTTTTTGCCTTTTTTTACATTTTAAATGCTTTTTTTATTGATTATATTGCCTTCAAATCCTAACCCTATTTATGAGTAAAGTAATTAAAATAAAGTAATACATACCAAGAACTTCCTTTTTTTCCTCTGCAGAACCTTCTTCAGAAAAAATGAGTACTATTTCTTCCTAGGCATTTCTTTTTATTGTTTTATTTGAGTAATCATGGCTGGTCATGTCCCAGATCGACGGTCTTTTTTTGATTTCATCGATGAAAAATTAATTAATGAATTCTTCCATTATAGACGAAAAAAGACGGGAACACCTTGAAAGACAAAGACGCGCTTCAACTTGACGCGCTGACAGGTTTTTTGCGTTGACCGCGCGTCGCTATCCAACGCGCGTTACCATGTGTACAGTTAATATTAATTAATAGTAATTGTAAGCTCGCGTTTAACTCTCTTCATGTGAACCTAGCCTTTTTTTTTTTTTTTGCACCGAGGACCAGGAGGGAACTACGTTAGTAATACTTCCTCCAGGCCCCCATCGTTTATTTATAAAAACCATACATAATTAAATAATCCCCCTGCTTAGGATGTCTACAATATACCATACAACAGAATGGAGGGCTCTACCCCTCCTGCTTTGGCCGGTTGGCCTACAATACGTTAAACTTAAACTAAGTCGATTGTTGGATCATACTCCGCCTCGCTGCACCCTGCGTTCCTCACGTTCTCGGCACATCATGATTCTCGTGAAGAGGGAGTTGACTCTCTCCCACGAGTTTGTCGAGCTCAGCATGATGGCTGTTGTATTCTCCGGCGTTATGTTGTCCACTTCCAAGTAGACGCAGGCTTCCGTCCGCCATTTGTGCCAGGCGTCGCACTGGAACACGGCATGTTCTGGAGTGTCTGGCGTTGTGCCACATTGCGAGCACGCGTCTGTCACCTGGTTACAATATTTGTGTAGATACGTACCGAAACACCCGTGGCCCGTCAGCACCTGGGCTAGGTGGTATGACACCTCGCCGTGTTTCCTCCGGTACCATTTGAATATGTCGCCGATGATACGATTGGTCCACCTGCCTTTCCCTGAAGTGCTCCATTGCTGCTGCCATTGGGTCAGCAGATTTCCCCTGGCAACCTCCTTATTGGTCCCCAAAAAGATACTTCTCCTTTCTTCTGCCAGCAGCTTCAGGGGGGGCATGCTGGAAACGACAGTGGCTGCGTCATATGACGTCGTGCTGTAACAGCAAGCGACCCTCAGCATCGTCCTTCTGTAAGCCGACTCCATGGTGGTCATTGCCTTGACTGACATCTTGTCGGCCCAGATAGGTGCTCCGTAGAGCAGCCTTGATGTCACCACCGTCGACAGCACGCGTCTGGTCTTCTGCTTGGCACCCCTGAGGTTGGGTAGGATCTGGGCGAGGCATCTGCCCGCCTCCATCGCTCTTTTCGCCGCTAATTTGGCGTGTTCCAAGAAACGCTGCCTTGGGTCGAACTGGACCCCGAGGTACTTGACACAGCGGCTTGACGCGAAACTATGCGGCGGAAATTCCACGGTCATTGTGTTATGCACATTCCTGTTGGTGAAGACGTGGTCTTGTGCAGGGCGAGTTGTAGTTCGTTGTTAGTCATCCAGGTCACCACATCCTGGAGTGCCTTGCCGAGGCTCTCCTCAAGTATGCAGGGCACTTGAGCCGTGCATACGATGGCCACGTCGTCCGCGAATGCAATCAACTCCGTGTCGACGGGTAGTTCGATGCTCAGCAGTCCGTCATACATTAGATTCCACAGGACTGGTCCCAGCACCGAGCCCTGTGGAACTCCGCAGCTCATCTCAATGACGCTTGGCGCGCCGTCCGACTTTTCTACAATTATGCGCCTGTCCGATAGGTACTGACCGAGAACGTTCTGCAGGTACTTCGGGGTGTCAGTTCTTTCCAAAGCCTTGATGATGGCAGTCCAGGAAGCGCTATTAAACGCATTTTGGACGTCCAATGTCAGCATGCCGACGTCTCAATTGTACGCACTGGTACGACCGTTTGCGTTTCGTATTGCGGTTTGTAGCTTCGCCATAGCATCCAGTGTCGATTTACCCTCCTTGAAACCGTACTGGTTTTCCGGTTGGTTCCCCGTTCTCCTTAGATGGTCGCGAAGTCGCTGCGTTAACAGCTTCTCAAATAACTTTCCCATCGTATCCAGCATGCATAGGGGTCTGTATGCAGACGGGCTGTCGAGTGGTCTACCTGGCTTGTGTAGCAACACAAGTCTTGCTGTTTTCCACTCCGGCGGGAAGCAGGCACTTCTTAGGCATCCGTTGAAGACCTCCTTGAAGTACCACGGGTGCGCTCCCACTGCCGTCTTGAGTACTTCGTTAGGTACTCCGTCCGGTCCGGGTGCCTTCCCATTCGGTAGGCCCCGTGCTGCTGCTTTTACTTCGGTCTCTGTGAACAGTGCGAGTTGGAGCTCCTCTTCGCTGACCGTCGATATCGTTCTCCCGGTTGCGGGTCTGCGCGGGAAGAGCGTGTCGACTATCGAGTCTAGACGGCCCGGTATTTCGAGTCCTGGTATTGGCTTTCTACGAGCCAGCCTCTTCATAACTATTCTATACGGGGTGCCCCATGGGTCACCATCCACCTGGCCGCATAGTTCGCTCCAGTTCCTATCTTTGGCAGCTGTTATTTTCACTGACAGTGCTTTCCTTTGCTGCTTGTAGGTTTCCTTTTCCCTTGCACTTCCGGCCTCGCCTGCCTTCTTGCGCTTGCGGGTGTACGACCTTCTTGCCTTGACACAAGCCTTGCGCTGTTCCGCAATGTCGTCGTTCCACCAAAACGCTGGGCGTCTCTTGGATTTCCCGGAGACGCGGGGCATGCATGCATCGCATGCTTCGGTTAACCATTTGACGGCTTGTTTACACATGCTGGGAGCATCGATGTGAGGGATCGGTGCCCCGCTGTGCATTTTGTCTTTCAGCTTCTGGTGATCAAACTTGCTGTACGCCCAGCCCTTCTTTGCTTGCTCTCGCTGTTGACCGCGAGTGGTGGCTATGTTAAACCATATGTACCTATGTAGGCTCAGTGTTTCTTCCTCCATTACAGCCCAATCTGTAATATTTCCTATTGCCGCTTGCGTTGCCAGTGTCAGGTCGAGGTGCGACTCCGACGCACCCCTAACAAAAGTGGGCTGGCCACCCTCGTTCCGGACGGCGAGACCTAGAGCTGCGATTAGGTCCGCCAAGGCTCGTCCTCTACGGTCCTCCCTGGGGCTGCCCCACTCCGGGGACCTGGAGTTGAAGTCGCCAGACACCACCACAGGTCCGGTGGCTGTCCTCACGCTGGCTTCGAGCCCTACCAAGAAGGCCTCGAACTCCAAAAATGTTACATTTGGTGAAATATAACAGCTGTAGAGTCTATAGCCTTTTATCTCCAGCCATCTGAAGCCAGGCGATGGCTGGCCGATTGCATCGACCGAGATGCTGCTTAGAACGGCGATGGCTGCTCTGCCGTTCGCGTCTGGGAACCATCCATTGTCCTCCCCGCGGTCGCGGTGTTGCTCGCAGATTATTAGCACATCTGCTTCTTTTGCGTTGGCGGTCGCAAGCGCGAGTTCTTGCGACGCCCTGCATACACCGACGTTTATTTGCAAAACACAAATCATTTGGGTGTGCTTGGGTCCTCCGTCGCTCCACCTGAGCGATATGATCCAGCGCTTGGCATAGATTTGGACCCTTGCACCTCCCTGGCAAATGCATTCACCGCTTGCTCAGCTGCACCGCAACTAGCCGCCTTGTGGCCGGTCTCTCCGCAGCGACGGCAACACTCAGTCCTGTCAGGGCCGGAACACTCCTTAGCTGTGTGCCCGTGACAGAAGCAGCGGAAACATCTGAGCTTTTGTTCCGCAAGCTTAACTCGGCAGCTAACCATACCGATACGGAGCCGCCCGGAATTAAGTAATACGCGTGCGGAGCCAATCGGCAGCAATACCAGCGCTGACTGGGAGCCCCCAAATCTTTTCCGAAGACTGAAAACTTTGAGTTGTTCAGATAGAATGCCAGTGGCGGCAGCCGTAGCCGCGGCAACCTCTTCCACCGTTGACCACTGATCGAGGTCCCTGACCTCAACCATAGCTCTCTGCTGGAGCGCACGCACCCCTACTTCTGAGCCCGCGGAGCGGGAGATCTCGGCTCGTACTGCATCGAACCGCGCTTGGTCGCCTCTGACTTCAATGAGTAGGCCTCCTGCTTTTGCCTGCCTCATACCAATAATACTGTCACCAATAACTCCTTGATCGACGCCACCACGAATCTTCCTAGCTAACGCCGGAAAGTCTTCCGATTTAACATCTACAATGATTGCCGAGGGGCGTGCGCGAACTCTCGGTTTGGCGGTCGCCGTGTCCCCGACCCCCAGCGCTCCATTGCCTTGCTCTCCTTGCGGTGGCGAGTTCCTCTTCTTCGACGTCCTCCTCTTAACTATCTCCGTCCATGTTGGGCCAGCAGGATCAGGTGCCATCACCGGGTCGTCCGCGGGCGACGGCCGTTTTTGAAACCGTTCTGCCGGATGTTCAGCGTCCCACCAGCACGGGGACTGAGTCTCCATATCTACGGTACTTTTCATAGCCTGGACATTAACCCTGTTCTCTTCCTCCTTTTTAAATACTCTTTTGGTTTCGTTGTACGATGTGACAAAGTTCTTGTTATTAACTTCCAGGGCACGCACAAACAGACGATCGGATTTTTTATATATAAAGTTAGATAGTGGTAAACACTAAACAGGCACTGACGTTTTTTGCCGGCCGGTCAGTTCGCCGGCTCCGGCATATTTTTCGACCGGCGACCGCGCTTGGAGGAGCACCGCGACCGGCCGTCAAAAAACCAGTGGACCGTAAATACGACCATATGTAAATACATATAAAATAATATGAGTGAACACACGGCGTACATTTTGCCGTCCGGTCACCTGAATTTCCATTTCTCACATAACTTTGCAAACAATATTTTCAATCTTCTTCCTATTTTCGACGATAGAAAATTGAATCTAGATGGTACCTACTTTTGGCAGGTAAAAAATGAAAATTCCATGTATTTTTATAAAGTGTCAAGAAAACAAAAGAAAAGTGGTAACTTTTACACAAAATCAATTTTTGAAAAAAAACGATATTATTTTTTTGATGTAGGTACTTCGTATGAAAATCGTAGACCTTGAAATTTTCAACAAATTTTTATAATAGAATTTTCCATAAATATTAACATTTTCAAGCAATGAGGACTCTTTATGAGCTATTTATAGCCATGAGCAAATTTCAATTTTTGTAAATTATATTTCAGTTATAAATTCATAAAAGTTTTTCTTTCTATAGATATCATAAGACATTTTAATAGTAGGTTCCCAACAAGTTTGTCTACCTTTATGAAACAGAAAAATTTCACGAGAAAGCCATAAGATATTTTCGATTTTTATAAAAAAAAAAAGTTAACTATTAAAAAATATGCTAGGCTGACACAACTTCTCCACTCAGAATCGTTTCGTATACAAAGATTTAACGTTGAATACAAATATAACACATCTATGTTTGACAACTACTGTACAGCAAAGGGGTACCCACGCCTGTCCACCTTTTTTTGACTTGTCTTATCATGTTTAACTAAATGTATTATGTATGTATTAAAATGAATTACTGCAGGTACGTATACAATATACATACTTGAATCAATGATGAACTCCTACAGAATAATTAAATTACAACTACCTATAACATTATTGTTTATATTATGAGTACCTACATAATATTATTATATTCTGTGAATATTCAATATAATTACTATTTTTACAATTATGATTTATTAATTAATATATTAAATATTTCGGAGTATTACTATTTTTTTTTATAAAATTAATTTTTACAAAATTAAATATATTTGTAATCTGTGGCTTAGGAATAAAATTAACTTAATGTGACAATAAAATTTGTGGAAAAATGTTCTTTTATAAATTTACCCAACTAATGTTATTGATGATTTGCATGGATTATGAAAAATTAATTGATGTATTTATAAACAATTAATCTCCGATGTATATGACCCTACGCCTCACTGTTTTCGCGTAAAATAACTCGTAATTGTTTTTGAAATTTTTGAATTTCGATTACGTTTTATCGAGAACGTTGGCCGGACAAATATTTTTTAGATTTCAAAATGAGATCCGCAATATTTTACAATTGAAACAGTTTTTAAATTTTGCAAAATATTAAAATTGAAGGTTTTTGGTTTTTGAAAATTCTTAAACCAAAAACTATGTTTCAAAAACGTTGAATTTCGTCTTTTTAAATAATTAAAAATATGCGATGGATGAAACTTATTATTATTATCACAATAATATCAAAGAATATACTTAATAATATTATAGGGTGACAAGCCGCCTCCGCTCAGAATCCTTATTCGTATACAATGATATTAGGTACCTATATGAATTTGATAAAGAATTTAAAGATATTGAATTTCCGGTAAAAATCACAGACGTTCCGAAATTTGTTAAAAGAACAAAAGATATTTCTATTAATATTTATTGTTTAGATAAAAATGTAATTGCATGTTTAGAAATAACTAAAATCGAAAAAACTAATCATATAGATTTATTATATTTAACAGTGGATGATAAGGATAATGTGAATAAAGGACATTATTGTTGGATTAAAGATTTATGGAAAGTAGTAGGAAGACAAAATACAAAAGATGGTCATAAAAGATTTTTGTGTAAAATGTGTTTAAATAGTTTTGATACAGAAAATAAGTTAAATGATCATAAACATTATTGTGCTAATAATAAAGCTGCTAAAATAGTTCTACCAGAACTCTATAATAAAACTTTAGAATTTCAAAATTATAATCATTCCTTAAGAGTACCTTTTGTGGTTTTTGCTGACTATGAATGTACCTACTCTAAACCAATATATACTTGTCAACCAAATGATACAGAGTCTTTTACTAATTGTTATCAGAAACATATACCTAATAATTTTTGTTATATTAAATATAGTAATGGTGATTATAAACCTCCTGTAACATATTCTGGTCCAAACGTAGCTCAAGTATTTTATGAATGTATGAAAAATGAAGAAATACTTATTTCTAAAATATATGATAAAATAGTTCCTATGAAAACATTGAATGCAGAACAATTAAATAATTATTATAATAAATCTGATAAATGTCATATTTGTGAAAGATATTTATCAGATTTACCTCCAATATTAGAGAAAAAATTTAAAATAATTAAAAACGTTATTAAGCATTATGAAAATATTGATGATGTAAAAAAATTTAAATTGTATGAAGATAAACTTAAAATAATTAAAAACACTATTGAACATTATGAAAATATTGATGATGTTAAAAAATTTAAATTGAATGAAGATAAACTTAAAATAATTAATATCGTTATTGAATATTATGAAAATATTGATGATGTTAAAAAATTTAAATTGAATGAAGATAAACTTAAAATAATTAATATCGTTATTGAATATTATGAAAATATTGATGATGTTAAAAAATTAAAATTGTATGACGCTATTGGATATTATGTTAAAAAATTAAAATTGTATGAAGAAAAAAATAAAATTAAAGATGCTATTGAATATTATGAAAATATTGATGTTGTTAAAAATTTTAAATTGTATGAAGATAACCTTAAAATAATTAAAGACAATATTAAACATTATGAAAATATTGATGATGTTAAAAAATTTAAATTGTATGAAGATAAACTTAAAAAAGAATTAGAAAATAAAAATAAAAATATGCGAAAAGTTCGGGATCATGACCATTTAACTGGAGAATATAGAGGAGCAGCACATTCTATTTGTAATCTTAACTACCAAAATCCACGTTTTATTCCAATTGCTTTTTATAATCTTTCAGGTTATGATGCCCATCTATTTATAAAAGAATTTGGAAACGATAATGAAAGAATAAAATTGCTCGCAAATAATGAGGAAAAATATATTTCTTTTTCAAAAATGATGTCACGTGTAGTAACTAGGAAAGGTAAAAACATAAAAATATGTACAGAATTAAGATTTATAGATTCATTCAAATTTTTACCTAGTTCTTTAGAAAAGTTAACAAATAATTTAAGAAATGATTCGAAATTAAATTTAAAAAATAAATTTAAAGAACTTAGTAAATATTTTCCTGAAGAACATTTAGATTTAGTTACTAGAAAGTTAGCATATCCCTATGAGTATATGGATTGTGAAGAAAAATTTAATGAAACATGTTTACCTCCTATTGAAAAATTTTATAGTTCTCTCACAGATAAAAATATAACTAAAGAGGAATATGAAAACTCACAGAAAATTTGAAAAGTGTTTAATATACAAAATATGCGTGAATTCACTAGTTTATATAATAAGATCGATGTTTTATTATTAACAGATATAATAGAAAATTTTAGAGATATTTCTTTAAAAAATTATAAATTAGATCCTATGTGGTATTACACAACACCAGGATTTGCATGGGATTGCATGTTAAGAATGACAAATGTAAAATTATATTTATTAACAGATGTCGATCAATTATTGATGTTTGAATCTGGAATCAGAGGTGGATTATCTCAATGTAGTCAAAGATATTCAAAAGCAAATAATAAATACAT